GGGGGGGGGGGGGGCTGTTCAGCGATTTGTAGACATACAGGAGTATTTTGAACTGGATTCTAAGGTGAACCGGTAGCCAGTGCAGTGAGGCCAAAACTGGTGTAATGTGCTCTCTTTTGCCTGTACTGGTTAAAAATCGGGCTGCTACATTCTGGACCAGTTGTAGTCGTGCAATGGAGGTCTGACTGATACCAAACAGGAGTGAATTGCAGTAATCAAGCCTAGATGTAATGAATGCATGTATTACTGTCTCTAGGTTATTTTTGGACAATATGGGCTTCAGTTTAGACAACCGCCTCAGTTGGAAGAAACATGATTTAACAATCATGTTTACATGATTGTTAAGTTTCAGGGAAGGGTCCATTATCACAACCAGATTAGTGACTCTTTGTTTTTCTGACAGGGTTAGAGTGGAAAGGTCGAAGCAGTGGTTTATAATCGTGTCATTGGGATGGAACAACATGACTTCAGACTTCTTTTCATTGAAACTTAAGAAGTTTAAAGCCATCCAGTACCTGATGTCAGCCAGGCAGTCGAGCAGCGGTTGAATAGAGCATGTACCATTGTGTCTTAGGGGGAAGTAAATTTGACAGTCGTCGTCATAGAAGTGGAAGGGCATGTTGCGTTTCTGGAAAATAGCACCAAGTGGCAGCAGGTATAGAGAGAATAGGAGGGGACCCAGGATGGACTCCTGTGGAACCCCCTATTTAAGCTCTGTCGCTGCAGAACTAAATCCTTGATGGAGACACAAAAGGATCTGCCAGCGATGTAGGATCTGAACCAATTGAGGGCTGACCCTGTGATGCCCACCCACTGCTCTAACCTAGCAATGAGGATCTCATGGTCGATGGTGTCAAAGGCGGCTGTGAGGTCCAACAGGACAAGCAGCACAGAATCACCAGTATCTGTGGATTTGAAGATGTCATAAAAAACCTTCAATAGGGCAGTTTCAGTGCTGTGGAGAGGTTTAAAGCCAGATTGGAATAGCTCTAAGATGGCGTGATCCTCCAGAAAGCACTTCAACTGGGACTCAACTATTTTAGAAACAAATGGGAGTTTGGAGACAGGCCGGAAGTTGGAAACGACTGAGGGGTCAAGGTTTGGTTTTTTCAGGCAGGACAGCAGCATGTTTAAAGGATTTTGGCACCACGCCAGTGGATAAACTACTGTTTACTATAGCAAGAATGGACGGACCTAGAGTAGGAAAAACCTCCTTTAGTAGTCGAGGGGGGACCACATCAAAGGGGGAACCAGAAGGTTTCAAGCTAGACATGACCTGAACTAGAGAAGATAGAGTGATGGGTTCAAAATGGTCAAAAGGAGCTACAGATTGAGGTGGGATGGATGGGTCATGAGTTGGAGGGGAAATGAGAGCCCGGGTGGCCGTAATTTTTTCCAAAAAGAAATGTAAGAAGTTGTCGCACAGCTCATTCGAGGCTTCCAGAGGTGATGGTTCAGTGAGGTGGAGAACAGAGTTTAGGGTGGAAAAGAGGACACGTGGGTTGTGAGAGTTTGAGGTAATAACATCAGAAAAGTGTTTGGATTTAGCAGCTTTTACTGCTTTCTGATAACGGCGCCAACTCTCTTTAAGTATTTGAAAAGAGACCTGCAGCCTGTCTTTCCTCCATTTGCGCTCCGCCCTCCTACATTGCTGCCTAATAGCCTTGGTGACGTCACTCAGCCAAGGTTCTGCTCTCAGTTTTAATTTTCTAGTTTTAACAGGCACAACATGATCCAGAGTCTTTAAGCAGACAGAGTTGAACTGGGATGTCAGCTCCTCAGTGGTGGTGAGAAACACCGGGGGCTGAATTATCATTTCAGAGTTATAAACATCTGTGAAACGTGTGGCAGTGAAGTGGTTAATGGCCTGGCTACTACGTGCAGGAATGCATAGCTTAGGAGTTAGATGGGGAGAGTGAATTCAAACCGGACTGGCATGTGGTCTGAAAAAACATTATCACCAATTTCAAGATTACTAACAGTCATATCATGAGTTAAAACAAGGTCCAGTGTATGTCTGCGCTC